TGTGGATTATTGTGATGTTTTTATCAGCTGTTTGGACTCTCATTCTGACGGCACCCATTCACTGCAGAGCATCCGTTGCTGAGACACTGATGCAATGCTACATTTCTCCAAATCTGCTGAAGAAACAAACTCACCTACATCTAGGATGGACTGAGGGTGAATCATTTTAAGCAAATGTTCATTTTTGGGTGAACTATGCCTTTAAGAAACCCTCCAGAACACCTAAAGCATCACAATGGGCCGTTTTGCACATTCATACACGCTTTAAGTGTTCTGCTGTAATGCAACCGAATGAACAGATGTTGTTTCCCTCACAGATCCAAACTTGAGCACCCCTCCTCCGTTACTCAGGTGGACCGCAGACGTGTTGACAGACATCAGGCCCGTCGAATCCTGAGCCTCCCACAGAAGAGTTCCCTCAAAACCCTGCAGATGAAGACGAGTTCACAAACATCACGTCCTCCAGTGTGAGTGAAACCAGCAGCGGCAGTAACGTGCTATTCAGCATTCAACTACATTAATGATGTTTAAACACTAATCTAGCCACTAGTCATTAGTGTAGGTGGTTTCCTATAAATGCTCTTTTCTCCTCGTGTCACCTTGGGAAGAATGAACTGCTCGACAGGTTTGTAAAACATCCCACCCACACGTGTGCCTGGACTCAGTGCGCTGAAGCGAGCGGTGACCACCGGCTCCTGCAAACACACACACACACAATTTATTTAAATCCACTTAAAAGAAATAATTTACAAGGACATAAGATGCATGTACAAAATACATGTACAAAATCATGGACCAATGGCATACAGCAGATCTTCAAAACACACACACACACACACACGCACACACACACACACAAACACACACACACACAAACACACACGCACACACACACACACACACACGGCTGTAAACGTGTCAACAGGAACACCACAGACTATATTTGCTCAGCTGCAGACAGTGATCTTTTCAGAATAAACCATGTCATGCACAAGTCGATATGTGATTTCTGCATCCTCACTGGGCCTCAAGACGCCATGTCTTACAACATTTGCCCTGCTGGTGCGAGCCAAGAAATGTCATTTCCATCACATCACACATAATCTGTTTATTTTGAAATTCTGTGGTGGTAATGGCATTTTAAGAATAAAATGTGTCTCGTTAAGGCTATTTTATACAATCCTAAATGCACGCACATAATATTCTTACATTTTTGCATGGCCAACTTATTTTATTACAAAAAATAATAACAAAAAATCTTGTCTTTTTTTCTGAACCAGCAAATGTTGTTTCCATCAAATAATTTTGTTATTAATAAATATTCTGTAAAGCAAAAATAAATAAATTAAAAAATTAATTTTCTCTCTATATATTTTCTGAACCAGCAAATGTCATTTTCATATATTTTTTTATATTATCAAATATTCAGTAAAAAATCTCTCTTTATGAATTTATATATATATATATATATATATATATAGAGAGAGAGATAGCTAAATATTTAAATAAATAAATATTGAAATTGTTAATTTCAAAATTCTATTAAAGATGATCATGTTATGTTTTAAAATATAATGATACTTCAACTTATTTTATTACAAAAAATAATAACAAAAAATCTTGTCTTTTTTTCTGAACCAGCAAATGTTGTTTCCATCAAATAATTTTGTTATTAATAAATATTCTGTAAAGCAAAAATAAATAAATTAAAAAATTAATTTTCTCTCTATATATTTTCTGAACCAGCAAATGTCATTTTCATATATTTTTTTATATTATCAAATATTCAGTAAAAAATCTCTCTTTATGAATTTATATATATATATATATATATATATATAGAGAGAGAGATAGCTAAATATTTAAATAAATAAATATTGAAATTGTTAATTTCAAAATTCTATTAAAGATGATCATGTTATGTTTTAAAATATAATTATACTTATATGATAGATGTTCATATTTTAAAAGTGAACATCTGGGTCTTGGATAAGAGTAAAAAACAATAAAATAAAATGCATTTTACAAGAAGCAAGTGCATGAATGATGATTAAAAAGCATAATGAAAAAACAAAATCTTCCTATAACAAAAGGGGAAAAGACTGAAATCTCTTAGTTTTAATGAAAAATAAACCCCGGGACAAAAAAAGTTTTTTCTGATAAGTGCTGCGATTTTCTGCTGAAAATAAAGAAATCTGCATGAATCAAATAGACAGCACAATTTCCTCAAACTCAAAATGTATTATATGAACAGTATTATTATATCAAACATAACAGTCAATATTAGAGGCAAATGCTTGCAGTAAAGGAAGTAGTATTTATAATTTCTAAAGGTCATGCTTACGTCCAGCCACTGTGGTTCATCTGGTTTTATTACAAATATAATCACTCTTTTGTTGGTTTTGATTGCTTCTATTGTCCTCATTTGTAAGTCGCTTTGGATAAAAGCGTCTGCTAAATGACTAAATGTAAATGTAATATCACAGTTAAACTAGACACTGGGCAACATTTTCCCAAAACCAATGGCTTTAAATGCATGAATTCTGTTCGGTTCTAATGCTATAATAAAATACAGTACCTTGTGCATTTTTAACACATGCAACATTACTGGACTTATTGGTAAAATACAATCATAATATGACTATCATTGATTCCTGTCCTATCATTTCTCATGTTTTAGAGGCATCCCGTCAGTCTGTTGACTTCGACGAAGCGTGGAAATGTATGAAATCGTGGCATTAGGCGATGTGTGCTTGCATCACACGGCTGCGTCGACCTCTGCGCTCATCGAGTGAAAGATCAGAGAGACTCCACAATCAAAGGCACTGATGGAGAAGACTTTATTGAATTTGCTCGCCGCACATTTATCTCTGCAGCTCGTCGGAATGAACGATACGTCTCTTGATGTCTCTCCAGTACATTTATCAAGTAAATGAGTAATGTCTAGCGGGATGATGAAAACTCACCTTAAAAAGCCAACAGGATATTTTGGGTTTCTCTTGTGGCAAGAACAAATTGAATGACTTTACAAAGTGCAATCGGAGTTTCTAAAAGAGTGTAATGGAGGACGACTGTTCTGTGCATATCAGTAAATATTGACTGACTGTTCTGTCAGAGAAGTCAGTTTATCAACTTTTAATGGGAAGAAATCATGGACAGGTTGTGTGACGGCCTCATCTTCAAAAACCATGGTTTATTTGGTTTATAATATTGTTAAGTAATGATTTAAATAATTATTAATTTTCATTTGGTTTAGTTTAGTGGCAGGAAAATAATCTAAATTCTTTAGAAAAATAAAACCATTATTATTATTATTTCACTTTATTATTAATGTATTATTAATCATTTAAATTAAAATATAACAACAATCATAACATTATTATTTAATTATATTTTAATTCAAATTTTTTTATAACAATTGTAATAATAATAATAATAATAATCATATCATATAATCATATAACAATTGTAAAAAATAATAATAATCTATATTATTACTGTTTACAACAACAACAACAACATTATTATTAAACAATCATTTACATTAAAAGATAATAATAATAATAATAATAATAATGGTTTTATTTTTATTATTAATGGATTATATTTTATAATTATTATTAAGTAATGATTTAAATTAGATGTAATTCAATAATAATAATAATAATAATAGTTATTATTATTATATATGCCCTATTCCTTGAATGAAAACCATGACCATAAAGAAAATACAACCCAGAAGACAGTTCATATTGGTTCATTTGCATTGAGCACAAAACCATCTAAAGTCAAGCTGACGTTTATGCATTTACAAAGTTGTCATTTTTCATATTTCTCTGTCATGTTCATAACTGTGCATTGTAATATGAATCATTCTCATTTGATTTTAAAGGGCATTTTCGTTTTGTTTTTGCGTTTGTACTGTAATTATAAACCTCCTGTACTGTGATGTTGAGTCTGATCCAGTTGAGAAGCAGTGATTTACAGACTTCATCATCTGATGCGTAATGCTGAGGCTCCAGACTGCGTTTGTGCTCGTACCTCTTGGTCCACCTGGAAGAGCCGGACGGTGACGTTGCCCCTGAAGTCGTCTCGCGGTCCGTTGGGAAAGACGCCCAGCTGAGTGATGACCACCGAGTGAAGGACCCTGAAGTCCAGACTGACGGCAGAGACATCGGACGGCTGCAGTGCAGACGTGTCAGGAACACTCAAGATAGCCATCTCCTGCCCAGCAGCTGAAGCAGAGTTCAGGTTAACTCAATCATTCATGCTTCTGCTTAAATACTCACATTAGTTCAGCAGGCAAATATCAATTCTTTAGAAAAAATAAAACCATTAATAATAATAATAATAATAACAATGGTTTTATTCTATTATTGATTGTTTATGACTATTTATGAAATTCACTATTGTAATTTAGATAATTTAATTAAGTTCTTTTAATAATAATAATTATAATTACTATTTGTATATAT